AGTTAAAAAAATGACATTGGGCCTGAATGGGGGTGGGGATAGACAAAATTCTCGTGAGGCCCAGCATGCGTTTAATGAAACGCAGCGTTTTACGCTGCTTTCATTCCCTCCATAATCAGCTTTGAACGTGAGCTCTTGGATCCTTTTCAAGTCAACCATTCCACGCATGATCGTACGGCAATGGTATCGTCTTCTTCCTTGAGATGGATTAGGGTTTCTGCAACCATGAAACACACTTCCATGCATGAAACTTCCAGCTCATCGTGCTCACTCATCTCTCCACCAAATCCCATGATATAAGAACCAATCTTGCTCTAATTTTCACGCAGAACACAACCATGCCCTTGGTTTGTATTGAAACACCCTAAATCATGCAAACCGAACGGTATAACCTTGCAATCTCAAAATTTCATCAGGTTTCGACCTTCACCAAACTCAACATTCTTTATACAAAAATGATCCTTATGTTACACTCATCAAAACTAGCTAATTATCTTGCATTGAAACTCAATATATCATTCATTCTAACTCCATCAAGAATTCGTGTCCATAGTTGAAATCTCTCCAATCAGTCCCAAACTCATCAAAATCAACCACCTAATTGTCTCTAATGGTTTCACACTAATAATTAATCCTAGCCATGCCTAGAATAGGGTGTAGAAAGTGTTTTGCATACCTTGCTCTTGGATATGGTAGATGCTGAAACTCTCCAAATCAAGCCTTGTAACTCTTCAAGTATGATCCCTAGATGATGAATCTTCCTCTGTTTGCAACAGAAATGGCTGGAATTGCTTGTGCTTCAAGATCCAATGTAATTTGCTTTCTTGCAAATTCAATGTGAATTCTTTCAAATCTTCATCAATGGAGTCTCAAACTAGTATGAACATACTCAGCAATGTTTATGGAGATGATTTGTGAAGAAAAATTGGATTGCAATGAAGAAGAAAATGGAGTTTGGATGCAATTTGCAAATGGACCTTTATGATTTCAATCACTATTCTCTACCACAATCAACACCAACCCTTCACCAAACTCAGTTAGCAACCTTATATAGAGAGGTTTAGAAGAGTCTAGAACCTCTTAGAATCATCTAGAAAGAACTTGAAGATTTCATGATATGGTAATTTGCATTTTCATTTCTCCTTATATGATATCTCATGCCAAATGCCTCATAATCCTTGTAACCAACTTGAATTTGTCCCCATATGATATTTTGGATCAGTTACAATGCACATTATCCTTGTTTAGCAAGCTTTTCCTTGTTTTGGTTTGGTACCCCATTATGCAAGTAATCAAATTACAAAGCAACCCTATGATGCAAGCCTCAAATCAAAATTGTGGCTGAACCATTGTTATTAGAATGTCATTTGGAGTCAAAATGACCTATCATATGACATGGTTTGGACTTGTAGCTTATGACTTATGATTTTCAACTTCACTTGAATTAACTTATGCCTCATTTTTAGACCATTTTTATCACTTTTTGATATAAGCCTTTTCAACATCTCATGACCACCCTACTAGCCTTAAAACATCATTCTAAGAAACTTTTATGTTGAAGATTTTTCAATTTGAAGCTTGGAAGTAGGAGATATGGCCTTATGCTTGAAATGACCTATAACCTCCAAATGACCAAAATGCCCTTGGCTTGTCAAGATCATAAATAGAGCTCCACAAATCCGATTGAGGCATACCATACCTTTCTAGAAAGCTAAGATCATGGGGAACAACTTTCATGTTGGCCAGAAATCCAATTGAAAACTCCTTAAGGGGAAAAAGTTGCTTGGAAGTCAAGTAACTTTCACAGACAAAATTTCAGATGCCTCTGAGGACCTGTAACTTGCAAGAACCATAACTTGAGTTATAAAAATCTCCTTGATGCCTTCCACCACTCAAATTAAAGTTCTTGAGATACTCTACAAGTTTCATGTTGGACAAGGATCCATTTGAGACTTGTATTTGGAATTATTTTGCTTGGAAGTTTGACCTAAACCAGAGGATTTTACACAGAAACCCTAATTCAGAAACTTCTCTTCTTCTTGATTTCTTTTGATTTATCCTTGGCACAACACCACATCCATATCCACATATCAAATGATGAATCCCACATCCTCCAAATAGGCCTTGATGCCCTTCAATCAAGCATTTGACTTAGGGTTGACCCAGGGTTGACCCAGATGACACCCTAGTTGACTGTCTTCAACTGTAGCTCTTGTAACCATGCCAATGACTTGTCTTACTTTCAAAAGGACCCTCTAGGTCTTCCATGATGTCTATCCATAACCCATAACTTCTCTGATGATCTTCACATACCCTCAAGATAGGAGAGAAACCCACTGCTTGGCCTTTAAACTTCCCAAAGCTTCAATTTCTTTCTTGGTGATTTGAATAGGCTTGAATCTTGATAAGAGCCTCTTGACTACATTCCTTGAGATGAAAGATAGCACTTGATCCCTTGCCAGATGACTTGTTATGCTATGTTATGCAAATGATTAGACTATGTACATGACTTTTTATGCAAATGACAATGCAATTGAAACATAAACCAAGTGAAGTAGGTTGAGCAAATTTTAGGGTGCAACACTATGTGATTATATAAATGTATGATGAGATACCATGAGTATAACTGTGATTCCTATGTGATTAAATGAATGTATGATGAGTTACTATCAGTATAGCTGTGATCCTTATGTGATTAATACATGACCGTACGATGAGTACCCATGAGTATAATTGTTATTCTTATGATATTATTACATGATTGTATGATTGTCGCACCTCGAAAAATCATAAAGATAATACGGAGAAACGACCCTCGCGCGAAAGGTACGGAATTGCGGTTCGACAGAGTCGCAACCGAACTTTATTTTCCCAAATGAACGGGAGAGGAAAATATCGAGAAAACCTCTTAAAACGAAAGGATGGGAACAAGGCTGTCCCAACCAAGTTCCGGGTTCGGGAGTCGGTTACGTAAGGGGAAGGTATTAGCACCCCTCACGTCCGTTGTACTCAATGGGAAACTATTAGTATATTGTGCGGTGAGCATTGTCTAGGTTTGGTTGTTTTATCTTCTCGATGATAAAGGCCAATTGGTAGGATAAAAGGTTAAAGACGCTAGGGGAAATGGGTGGTTATAGGATAGGGTGCTCGCCAAGGATTGGGGCCCTTGTGTCTACGTATGCTCATTCAGACAAGAATGAGAAATCAGAGCTTTGTAGTTCGACTACGGGAAAGGTTAGGGGATAATGGACGAAATAATGGAGGAAGGTAGAAGTGTGCTCGCCAAGATCATCATAATGTTATGCATACATATCTTATATTCAAGAATGAATAAAGAATCAGAGCGTCCGTAGTTCGTGGTAACAACCACGAAAGAAACGGGATTGAATTGGTTTGAAGTTGTGTTGAGAGATGAAAGTGTAACTGACAAGAAACCCAAAGGGCATGCCTTGAGGGCTTGTCATTCAAGAATTCAAGGAATGCGAGATTCCAAGAACTCAACTCTTTCAGAAATTGGGTTGAATAGGTTGAAGATAAAGAGTTGGATGTTTTGAAATCGAAAGAATGAACTAATAACAACTCAAGGGCACGCCTCGAGAGTTACTCATTCGAATATTCAAAGAATGCTAGATTCTAAGAATATCCCTCTTTCGTAAGTTTTAAAAACGTTTGTGAAAAGATTGAATCGAAAGTGGAATGCGAGGCAAAAAAGGTTGGTTTGACAATGGCTCGACGATGTTTCGAGGATTTGATTGAAGACATAACCGACTTGACCACGTATCAAGGGTTAGATCGTGAGAAACGATATTAGTCCCTAAGGGTGCCCCTAATATTGAAACCACGATGAATTGTGAAGTGTGTCCGAAATGTCGACGGTTGCGAATGCGTACGAGCACTCGACTTAGGAGAGCGTTTGAAAATGGTTTAGTTTGAAAAAATCGAAAGATTGAGTAAATAATAACTCAAGGGCGTGCCTCGAGAATTATTCATTCGAAGATTCACGGAATGATAGATTCTAAGAACCTCCTTCTTTCAAAGTTTGACTCGAGAAAATGTTTGAAAAAGTCAAAAGATTGAGTGAATAATAACTCAAGGGCGTGCCTCGAGAATTATTCACTCGAAGATCCAAGGAATGCTAGATTCCAAGAACCTCCTTCTTTCGGAGTTTAACTCGAGAAAATGTTGAGAAAATATTTGAATGGGAATAAGGTATGAAAATAATTTGTGAATGTGAGTATGAAAAATTATGAATATGGCAAGATGATATAACAATAATATTTGAATGAATTTAAAGCAATTAATGTTTGACGGAAATTAAAGTTAGTAGTTAGTTTGGTTATGAATTAAATCGGGACAAATGTAACGCTAAACCGCCGTAGCTCGACTTATAATGGAAGTCGAACTATAGAAGGTCACGTGAGTTGATATTCGTGCTAAAAACAAGATAGAAAAATGGTATTAAAGACCGTTCTCTAATTTAATCATGTCGCACGGACAAAAGAAGGTGGATCTCGTCTTAATCGCAAACATCATGCCGATTAATCGAAGGTAGCCTATCATGATCTCAAAGTAAAGAAAATGACCCAAATGGTCATTCCCCATAGATTTGAAATCGAGAAGGTTATCGACCTCGATACGTGACACTTATGAATAAAAGACTTCACAGATCGGAAAAATAAAATGAAAACGAAGAAGAAAATGAAATAGAAAATGAAATGATCTCATAAATTATCATCTATCAATAGTTTGACCGATAATAATTTGTAAATATTCTTCATTGACCAAAAAGAGCGAAAGTGGAACAAAATGCTCAATGATGAATAATAAAAAAAAGTAACCTCTAACTTCTAATATGGCTGAAGTGGGCTTTCCATGAAGCCCATCAATAAAAAAAGGTAACCTCTAACTTCTAATATGGCTGAAGTGGGCTTTCCATGAAGCCCATCAAAACATGAGAAGCAACATCTATCACCTCCTTTAAAACAGAACACGTGATATCCATGGATGGAAAGAAAGAAACTAAAATGGTGAAAATGAAACACGTCATTGATATACAAGCAGAAGTTAACAATGAAGATAAAAGCGACGAACACCGAGGTCCTCGTCCTCACCTTCAGTTGCTCGCGCCTCAAACTCAAATCCACTCTCAATTCTCCGTGCGTTTCTACTTTATATGCTCAGGTTTGTTACTTTGGTTTGCGGTTTCAGAATTTCACCCTCTTCATCTCGATTCCATTCTGGTTCTTCTTCTATTTCTTATTCAATTCTGTTCTCTGGTTTTGTTTTGGTTTGAGAATGGGGATTTGAAAATTAGAGGTTGAGTAAGAGGAGGTTTCAGAAGAAAAGGTGAGGTTTTGGGGATTTCAAAAAAAATGGGTTTCGGTTTGTAGGTGGAAGATTTTTAGTTGGCTGAAGGTGAGGTGAATGAAGGACGAAACGGGTTTGAGAGGTTGATGAATTCTGGGTATGACGAAGAAGTTTTCTGGGTTTAGAGATTTGGGATTTGTGTTGTTATTATGAACGTTGAAGAAGATGAGTGTTTGGTATTGTTGATGCTAGGGTTGGTTCGATGAAGGGTTTGGTTAGGGATTTGCGGTTGAGTTCATGGAAGAGGTTTTGGTTGAGGCAGAAAAATGAGTTGAAGAAGTTTTAAGGTTTTCTCCCCCAGAATGAAAGAAAAAAGTCGGTTTTTATCATAAAAATTGAGGGTAATTTGGGGTTTGTTTCAAAGGCAAGGACGAGTTGCAGTGCGTATCACCAACTTGTGAAATATGCGTCGCGAGGACACCACTTTTCGTACTGCTGAGCAACGATTTTGCAGGTTTCTACCTCATGGCATTTTGGAAGGAATATTCTTCTGTTTTCATTGTAGTAGCGCATATTTTGTTTTTGGGCATTTGTTTGTACAATTGATGAACATAATGGTTTGATGGGAAATCGTTTTTATTGTACAGGTTGTGGATGAAGACTTATAGAAGTTGAGTGTGATTAGAGGATGAAATATGTGGGCTCTTGGCAATTTGATACTGTGTCCTTGCATATTCTGTGTGTTGTGAAAAATTATCTTGTCGTTTCTTTGCGTCAAAAAGATTGGTGAGGTTTGCTGCGAAACACACAGTTTTCTCACAGGTGAATGAGGCTTGGTGTTACCGCGTGGGGATAACGGTGGGGTATGCCTAAGGAACTTGGGATTGGCTCCTGCAAGAAGGTGTGGGCCGTTTTTTTGAAGACTTGCGTGATGTGTTCGTCCGCAGAAATTGTTGTGTAAAGATTATTGCTTCTTTTTTTTTGCACTCTCACATGATGTATACGCATGAAGTTGGTGAAACTTTGAATTGGGTTTGAGCTAACATTATTGGATTATGATTTTGATTCTTGTAATTTTTGTAAGAAGATCTTGTATCCAAATGTATTTCTTTTTTTCCAAAATCATCCAAGTACAACCTTGAATTTAGAACATATGGCTTTGATGAAATGCTTTTTGAATATTAAGCATAAAACTCTTTTTGTTGCTTGATTAAATTTCTCGTCGGGCCTAAAACTTTGATACCACGTTTAGAGTCCATTTCGAAACTTGAAAGTGAATTGGCCATGACTTGAAAGAAAAATAAAGAACAACTTCTAAATATGGCCTTGGCACATACTAAACAAAACCAACATGATTTTGACATAACTTGAGGAATTAGTTCCATCACCACTTGAAATCTTGATCTTCAATACAACTTGACCGAGCATATGCTTAGATCACGAATTGGTTATGCCGTAAACTTCCCTTGAAACCTTTTCTTATATACCCCTAAAGAATCCATCCTCTCATTTTGAAACAAATCAAGCTTGAATTTTAAACAAGTGATATGAACATCGATCTTGGAACATAATCTAAACTCATTTTGAAAATTGGCATAGGACTTTAGTGGCGACCCCACATAAACACCGCTTGACTAGGGCACATCCTGGCTTGGGTTATGAAACGCAATTCTCGGTCCAATCGAGATTATGTCACCATCCGATAAACTTCAACCGTACTCATCCCTGACTTGATAAACCTCACGTGAACCTTGCAACAATTTATTTCAACCCTGTGATATCTTGAGTGTAGACCATGAGCACAAGCAACACATTTTTTTTGGATTTTGTAAATAATAACTAGAGGGTGGATGTATTGAATGAAAATTGTACAAGTAGGACAAATTTGGGGTATGACAATGATGAATTCCCATGAGGGTCTGTGATGATTTGTGATGTTGATTCCATGATGTTTTGATGATTCTATGATGACATGATTATTATGATGATTTTGATGAATGATGATGCACCTAATGAGTTTATTATGAGAATGATGTTGAAGTGTGCATCATACATTCATATGCATTCCGAACTTTGGTCTAGGACCTTGATTCTTGTAGCTTCAGTCCCATTTTACAGATGTGAGGTATTTTGTTGTGCTTTGGTTTTCGTGTAGAATCGATCATATTGTTGTGGATCTATGGAGAGTTGATGGCCCAGTGTCCATCGAATTTTGTTGATTGGTACCACATGCATGAGTCTTGTTGAATTTGCATTTATGTGACCATTTGGTTTAAATTATAATGTTGTGGCCTTTGATGTTCCTTGATGACTATGATGATGTTGAATATGAAAATGACGCCATTTTATATATTGATTCTTATATTGATTATTATGAATCGTTTTACTCATCCTGCCTATTTGAATGTTGCCTCCACATGGGTAACGTGCAGATGAACAGGTTTAGCCGTGGATGCCGTCGAGGACTTTTTGAAGTTTTGGGTCGTTGGCCATTGTGGTTGATTTAGAGGGTCTTGCTCTAATGGTGTAACATCGGGCTGGGGTCTTTTGAGTCAAACTATATTTGATTAAGTTTTGCTATGTTGATTTTCTTGCGGTGAAAAGAAAACTTTGGATTTTTTCCCTTTTGAGTTCCGCTGCCTTTTGAGTAATATTTTTGAGTAATTTTTGGAAAACCTGTTGTTTACGAGCATTGACTATATTTGAATTATTGAGAAATTTGCGCTCTTTTGAGATGATTTTATTACGTTAAATAATTTACTCTGGTAAATTTGATTATTTCACCATGATATTCGTGGGGTAGAAAAGGGTGTTACAATAATCATCAGGATCCAACTCATGTTCAATTAGGATTTTTGTGCTGTTGCAGTGCAGTTCATATCTCAAGTCATTTGTGTTATGGATCATTGGAGACAAGAGTGTGTTGAATTTAAATGATTTATGTTTGAGGATCCAATTTAGGGTTTTCGTGTAAAGATCAGGTTCATGTGGTGAAATCAAGTTACAAAATTATCCAAGTTTGGTGCATTTGCCCTCATGGTTCAAGGTTTTATGTTGTTCGTTGTTACTTGATGTTCAACAAAGAATTCAAGTCTGCCATTTATTCAAGATCATTTTAAGAATGGATTCATTGTTCTGGTGTTAGTTTTCAAAGTTTTAGTTCAAAAGGTCTGGAGGGTGCAAATAGCCAAAGTTCATTCATCATACAAGTTCTACAAAATAATATCTCATGGAAGCCCATACAAGACAAGTCCATTTACAATAAAGTTTGTAACAAAAATTATTACAAAAAAGGAGAGAACTTCATGAAGTTGCAAGAAAAATAAGTCCATTATCCTTTTTATTTTACAAAGCCCATTAGTATTATTTATAACCAATTGCCAAAAAAAAAAAAAAAGAACAAGCTACTAAGACTTCTCCACAATTCACAAGCTGCTACCAAAGCCACCTACAATCAACCATCATGCTAAATCCTTCACATTAAAATAAGTTATCACAAACTTCCAAAAGCCAACTTCAAGCCAATGCTACCACACAAAACGCCAAACGCGAGTCTGTTACTACAGTTCAACCTTCTGCAAGCATTACTACACAAGCTTTACGGAACATGAGCGAGCCAAACTCCCAAGCCACAAGCCAATATCGCTACTGCGAAAAAAAGGTGCCGGTAATGACAGAAGAGTCACCACCGTTCGTTATTTATCCCAAAAGAGGGAAAGGAAATGAGCAGAGAAAACCTGATGAAAACGGGATAAGATTGGTCATCGCAACCAAATCTCGGGTTCGGGAGTCGGTTATGCAAGGGGAAGGTATTAACACCCCTCACGTCCGTCGTACTCGACGGGATCCACGCTTGGTTATCTATCTAGAAAGGGTGTTTGAAACTATCTAACTAAAGGTCCGGGACAAAAGAAAATTAACTCGACAGAGCGTCACCGCTCTAGGCCTAAGTATTCCCTCGTGCAATGGGAAATTCAGTGTCAACGTAGTTCAACTAACTACGAGTGAAAGGGGGGAAAGGTTGCTCGCCAAGACATCGCGTCTTGTGCCTACGTACTCTCAACAGGTATGAGAGATCAAATCAAATGTAGTTCGGGTAAACAAGAACACCGGTTGGTTCAACTGTTTTTTACCCGAGTAGGGTTAACAAATAGTTCCAGCAGTTTGGTGTATGCAGCTCGACCATTGGAGACTTAGGCGTTACCGTTTGCGGTAGAACTAAGAGTTAACAACACTCTTGTTTATGAAAATGTTTTCCTTGATTAAGAGGGTCCCAAAGGACAAAAAGAAGTTTGATCATTTGTTTTTGTGTCTTTTAAGGAGAAGTGTTTTTGAATTTTTTGTAATTCATATTGCACTAGAGACTATGACTTAGGAGCGAATGCGTCGCATATCGTCCTAAGGACGTATACTAAACACTCTAAGAAATTGAGAGGAAGCCACTCAATCACCATTTCCCAAGTAGCTTAAGGCTCGTAACGTACAACATTCCTTAGCCTTTATTAAGTGTTTTAGAGTTGTTTTGAGATGAGAAAGAGAGAGGGGACAAACTAAAGGGAAACTAGTTCAAAACCTAGTAGTTGTCATGCAAAATGGCCCTAAGGTTAGGATTGAGAAAGGAATTCTATCTTATTTGTTATCATGCAAAGGATTCAACCTAATGTCTATCATCACTATCCTTAATCAAGGAAGTGAGAATTCCCAAGGGATCATGGTAATGAAGAGAAAAGAAGCAACATGAAATAAGACATGAAATATCGAATGAATGGATGCATATGCAACACAACACACAAGCAGAGGGACGAAATAGTGTGGGGTGAAAACCTCCACAAGCTCATCTCAACCTTTAATGCAAACAAGAGAACAAAAGGGAAAACAACACGCAAGCAAAGGGAGGAAATTGTGTGGGGTGAAAACCTCCACAAGCTCATCTCAACCTTTAATGCAAGTAAAGTGCAAAACAAACCCTACACCTTGAACATGGAATCAATCATAAACCAAAATAGAGTTGGGA